TCCTTCTTCCTGGAGGCTTTTAATTGCCCATTTAGTTTTTGGGTTATCTATGGCATGGGTGTCAAATTTGCGGCGTCACGCAACGTATCACAATGTATCGCGGGCCGGCAGTTTGACACCTCTGGTCTATGGCCTTCCATACATGTACTAATGTTTAGCTTTTTTAGTTCAGCTAAGATTGGCCAGGCACTACTTACAATGCCAGAAATCGAATTCTTATCTCCATTCAGTCATAAAGCTTGTATGCTCTCCTGATTGTTGGAAAAATAAATGGGAATATGATTTGGTATGTATCTATGGAGAAATGTGTTCCAATGATCTTTAACAGTGCTTTTAAACTTTTTCTCTCAGGGCCCCTTGCTAGTACAGACAATCCCCCAAAGAGCTTTTGTTTGCATGAGTTATATTTATTGATAATTACCAGATTAAAAATTAAAACCGATGTATGCTGTTAGTACTGCTTCTTAAGATTATATGATGAAATTTTAATATTGTATTATTTTTTAGCATAATTGGCAAGTTATTGTGTAGATTTCTGACAGGTTCTTGGTCCAGGTTGTAGTCCAGGGATCTAGGACCCCACTTTAGAACAGAGTGATCTGTGTCATCCTGAACTTTTTAGCAGAAGGTACAACTAAAATGAATTAAATATAATGATGCATAATACTAGCAACAATGCTCTGTAGGTATGAAGGTTATTTTAAAAGTTTCACTAGTCAAAGCTTCTAAAATAAGTTAAATAAGAAGAGTGCACAAAGAACTTTTGATATTTTCAATTAAATATGTCTGATGCTTTAATTACTATCATACAACCCTCTTGGCCTCTCAGATGCTAGTAAAAACCCAGCTATTCCAGGCCTTTGGAGCAGGGGTAGTCAACCTTGGCTCTTTTATGACTCAGGAATTCTGGGAGTTGAAGTCCACGAGTCATAAAAGAGCCAAGGTTGACTACCCCTGCTTTGGAGACTGATTATGGAACCAGGATTATTAATATTTGTTATTTTATTTCACTGATTGAGTGTATATTGACTATTTTGCTTTAATACAGGTAGTCCTCAACTTACAACTACAATTGAGCCCAAAATTTCTATTGCTAAGTGAGACATTTTGTCCCATTTTATGACCTTTCTTGCCATGATTATTAAGTGAATCACTGAAGTTTTTAAGCTAGTAACACGGTTGTAAAGTGAATCTGGCTTCCCCATTGAATTTACTTGTCAAAGTGGTCACATAATTCCAGAGCACTGCGACCATCATAAATATAAGTCAGTTGCTAAGTACCCAAAATTTGATCATGTGACCAAGAGGATGCTGCAATGGTCATAAGTCACTTTTTTCAGTGTCATTATAACTTCGAACAGTCATTAAATGAATTGTTGTAAGTCAAGGATTTACCTGTAATTGCAAACTGCCTAGAGTTCTTTACAACTGAGGCATTTCACCAATAAGAAAATTAAACAACTAAATAAAATAATTCTACTCTGATCTGCATTGAATTAAACAGTAATGGAAAACTTTATTTTTTATTTCTTGTTTTGAATTGTTTTGAACACTGAAATCATTAAACTTCTCAAGTAGATCCTTTTAGTTTAATTTAAATTAATTTTAAAATATAACAATAAAGTGAAAAGGAAAGAGGTCATCAGAGGAGTATGCCGAATATGGTCAAGAAAAGTTAGTATGACAGTCATGATGTTGTGATCAATGCCGTTTTTTATGTGGAAATATGTGGACTTTTGATGGTGCTGCTGCAGCTGCCATCTTAACCTGTTTGACCACACTCTTCAGACACCCTCAGAGGTCCTTGGAAAACACACTAGAAAATTTTAGGAGGTGTGGGGGAAGAAGAAGCATAATTTGGACCAGAATTTCCTAAGCAAGGCAGTTGTTAAGTGAGTTATGCCTGATTTTATGCCTTTTTTTGCTACAGTTAATTGTTAAGTGAATCATGCAGTCATTAACTGAATCTGGCTTCTCCCATTGCATTTGCTTGTCAAGAAGCTGTCTGGGAAGGTTACAAATGGTGATCATATGACCTAGTGACTCTGCAACAATTGTAAATACATGCCGGTTGCCAAGCATCCAAATTTTGATCATGTTGTTCTGGGGATGCTATCAGACTGGTTGTAAGTCATTTTTAAAAGCCATTGTAACTATACCAATGGTTGTAAGTCAAGGAGCAGGGGTTGGACTAATTTCCAGAGCAGGGGGGTTGGATTATAAGATTTCCAGAACAAGGAATTGGACTAGAAGACATCCAAGGCCTCTCCCAACTCTGTCATTCTGTTATTTGTTAAGGACTACCTGTATTTTGGTTTTCCCTACCTGATCAAGCTAGGCTTTACAGCCAGTGTTTTCTAAAAAAAAAAAAAAAAAAAAAGGTGCCGGAACTCACACACGTCATACAACCCGCCTTGCCTACCCTATAAGGTTCCATCCCAAAAAGGTGCCGGAACTCCGTTCTGGGCATTCTATGAGAAAAAAAGCCCTGTTTACAGCCATTATAAAACTGCCTAGGTTCAAGGATGCTACATATGCAGGTTCGTAAGAAGTTCAAAATGAAAATAAACATTTCTGGATATGTGCTAAAGTTAGCACTGTGAAATTGCTGCACATGTCTAGATATATTTTAGCATGCTCTCAATATCTGAGAGTTGTCAGCTCCGAAAGGCCCTTAATGTTATAGCAGTTAATCAGGGAACGGAAATGAAATCTAATTTCTTCCTTTCTCCTCCAAGATAATATTAGCTGCTGACTAACTTGGAAATATACAACATAGCCTCTGTTAATATTTACTTTTAAAAAAACTAAAAAAAATCTAATTCCTTTTTCTATTCTAGGATAATATTAACTGGCTAACTAGAAATACGCAATGTGGGTTTTGTAATGTATTTTCCAGACTGCAAGGACAAGCTCAGTTCCTGACATCTCCATAATTTTCTTGATGGTGTTGCAGAAATAGTTTGCCTAACCCCTAACCCTCTTCTGGGAGATTTTTGATTTCTCAATCCAGCCTGGAAGTCACTCATACAAATGGCAACTAGGCCCAGACCTACTTAGCTGCCAGTCCCAGATAAAGCTAGCCACCTACTGAGGCTTACCTAGTTGTATTAAGGGCAAAAGTATACTTTAGAGCTTGGGGGCATAATAGTATGCAGGAATGACCTCGGAAGATGGGGGGGGGAGGAGTGGGGGAGCCCATAGCTCCATAATGGGCAGAGAAAGAAACTCAGAAATGAACTTCCCAAATTTATCAGGTAATAAAAGATGGCTGCAGATCTGTACTTTCAGACTTGCAAGTTTCTGTTAATTTAGCCTTACAATTAGCTCATCTGGTCATGTTTCCTGTCTGGTCTACCTGAGAAGGCTGACAGGGGGTAACTCTGAAACCAATAAAATCTGTGCTTCAATTATTTATGAAACTGCAAATGCAAATGCTTTTAACAGAAGATAAAATGTGTGATTCATTATTATGTTTATCACAAGAGTTTGGCTTGTATGTATGTATGTACGTACGTACGTATGTATGTTTAAAAAGTAACATTAAGCTGGGGAGGTGAAAGGCTTAATGTTTTGCTTATCCCAGCTATATTTTGTGACTTGCACCTGTTTTCTTTTGCATGCACAGATACAGGGGAAGAGGAAGATATTTTATTTCTATATTGCTCTTTCTCCTAGTCAGAGAAGTCCAGAGCATTTTACAATGGTATGGAAACATCCTTAAATGCAACATTATAATACATTACAAACCATTATTAAATTAAAAAAACGACACAGGATCATGATACTTATTTTGCTGTAGTTTTAAAAGATTCAGTCCCTGTGAAAGTTCATGCTGCAGTTCCTCTGTGTTGCAAGAGAGTTGCTTTGCTGTTCAGCCAACATAACCTTGTGTATACTTTTTGTGGCAGGAAGTTTTGCAGAATTGACAAAACCGCCACATAGAGAAGTGAGCAAATAGGTATCAGAGATCAACACCAGAAGAGAGCTTGTGAAGAAACTGCCATGCTCTGCCATCTCTTCCCTCCCCCATTTTTACACCCACATATGTTCTAAGATCCTTAGGCAGAGCTTAATAAATAAAATAAGAGTTGTGGGAACTGACCCACTTGGAAGCCACATTCTTTCAATGGGAAAAATGATTATTTTAAAAAAGCAGTGATAGTTTGTTGGTGTGAAGAAAAGGTGCTATGTATGTTCAGAACCTGAATATTCTCCTTCTGGAATACTTTCCATCAAAATATCTTCAGAGATCATATCATGCCTCACACACTGCATTCTCAATTAATTACAATATAGCTATCCTATCACTTGTAATGCAATTATCAGGAGTAACTGCAATACACTATAATAGAGGGGTGGGAATATCAGGAGGAATGTTCATATAGACAGCAAAAAGATGTGGGGAATGTAAGAAATACAGTCCTATGGAATATTTGGCAAAAGTGTATAAAATGGGATTATAGTATTTGTTAAGTTTAGAAAAACCCCGAAATATACTAAGCTGGAATTGATGCAAAAAGTTAATCCTTAGAATGAATGAAACCAGGAGTTTACTGCGCCAGTCCTTCTACAAAACTCCAAACCTAGTTACTCCATCTTTACTTCGTCTCAGCAACCGGAACGAGTGTGGCTTTGCTGCTGCTGCTGCTGTTTAATCATTCCAAAACTGATCAAGTAATTCCTGAGCCAAGTTCTACTTTTAGTTCAACCTTGAGCTGGATTCCCGAAAAGAGACATTACAAGTTATCATTGTGAAGATAACGTTTTTCGTGTACAGAAATACATTTTGTATTTAATTGGTCCCGTCTCCCCCCCCCCCACTTCCATAGCCAGGAAAAGAAAGGGGGAAAGGCTTTCAATATGCAATCGAATTTTGCAATTTCTCCTTTCTTCTATTGGTTGTAACGGGGCACTTATTATAAACATCGCCCGCCACCAGGAGAGAAAAGCCGAACCGGACCTAGCTTTGCTCCAGCGGTTCTTCTTCCAAAGCCTACCTTGCCGGATTTTGCTGCGGCACCAACTTCCAGAGGTTCAAGCGCTAGGGAATACCCGCGCAACCGAGGCGAAGCCGATAGGCAAAGGGTGGAGAGCGCGCACTCGGCCGCGACTGGCTAGTGCCCCAGCGGCGGAGCGCTCCTTTCCACGCCCGACCGCTCGGCTCGCTGCTCCGGGAGAGGAAGTTAACGCCGAGCGGAGCAGAATATTGGCTGCCGATGGGGAGGGGGTGGCGGGTGCGCGAATATGACTGGGTGGGCAGAGATAAAACAACAGGCGTTTCCTAGAATGTCCCCGAAGAAACTTTTGCCCTCCCCTGTTTTCCTTTGCCTCGCTTCTCTTTGCTTTAACGAGATTTGATCTCTCGAAGCGAGAAGCTCGTTTGATTACAACTTAAGCCGAAGGGCGTTTCCTAGTTGCACCTTCCTACAGCTGGGCCATGACAATATGGCATTCTACGTGACTTGGCCTTCTTTCCCAGCCCAAAGACAAAGCAGCCTTAAATTGTCCACGGCTCTGTAAGGAGGAGTGTTTTCACACTTACTCCAACATAGTGCGAGGGAAGCCACAAGCTGTAATTTTGCCATTCATTTCCTTCACGTGGCCTTTTCAAATTTGTAGTTCACTTCAGCCCCTGAATGCCAGCGACTTTCTAATGCGCCTCTGAACAAAAGGTCCTAGCTTTACCTCACCCTATAATTGTCTAATGCCGCTCTTTTGTGCACCATAAATTTAAAATAAAATAATAAAAATCAGATTTTCTTAATACACCACAGTTTCAAAGTATATACACTTGATGTACTCCCACAACCAAGTAACCTGGTCCTATATTAATGACACTACTCCAACAGCTGAAAATGCAGATGACTTTCAAGTAATGGAAATCAAGGAATACTATGAAAAATGCAGCTGCAATTAAATATAAGGAAGACCGAACTAATGCAACCCTACTTCAAATTGGCAAGATATTAAACATATTAAATCTACTCCTTTTTAGAGTCAATTATGAACATTAAAGGACCTAGTAATAACAAATTACACCATAGATTAGTACTTAGTAGAGCAGATGCTTTGGAAAAGATACTCAGGTGCTGTGATGTGTTTAGATCAGAATTGTGTAGGAATGGTATTCCCTGTGGTACTCTATGGAAGCAAAAGGTGAATTTTGAAGAAGCAGCATAGGAAGAATATTGACACTTTGGAACCTTGGTATTGGAGAAGACTCCTGATAATAATACCTTGCATAACAACCAAATGGATCCTAGAACATCTCTCACTCCAGGTACAAATGCGCAGGTTCAAATTGTCAACACTTTGGATATATGTAAAAATCTAGCTTTCTTGAAAATCTGTAATGCTGGGAAAAGTAGAAGGAAACAGAAAAAGAGGATGACCAGCTAAATGGATTGATTCAATTACAGAGGTGATGGTGAATGCATCATTGGAAGGCCTTAAGTGTTTCTCAACCTTGGCAACTTTACGATGTGTGGACTTCAACTCCCAAAATTCTCCAGCTAGCAATGCTAGCTGGAGAATTCTGGGAGTTGAAGTCCACACATCGTAAAGTTGCCAAGGTTGAGAAACACTGCCGGAGGGATAAGTTGGAGTGCATCTAGAGCAGTGTTTCTCAACCTTGACAATTTTAAGGCATGTGGACTTCAACTCCCAGAATTCTGGCTGTGGAATTCTGGGAGTTGCTGGCTGTGGAATTCTGGGAGTTGAAGTCCACATGCCTTAAAATTGTCAAGGTTGAGAAATACTGATCTAGAGCTTTGTAGAATCTTCACATAATTGTGTTCAATTATGCATAATAGAGGTCCCTTCACAATACTGTATACTTTAGTATCAATACACAATATGTATATGCAATTTTTGATTAAACCTCAAATATGAAGGTTAACCAGATTGGGACAAGCTAGTGTTTACTATTACAATAAGACATTAGACAATGCAAGGAATAAACCAGCTAGTTTTGTCTGCTGCATCCCATATACATAGAATGTGTATGTTATCTTACTGCTTATTTATTGATCAGAATGGTAATATGAGTTAGAACAGCGGTTCTCAACCTATGGGTCGTGACCCCATTTAGGGTCGATCGACCATTTCACAGGGGTTGCCAAGCAAGGCTGTCCGCCATTTTTTCCCCTTTTCCGGCGGGTGCCTTACCTCCCTTGAGTGGGCCAGCTGGTGGTCGGCCTGCTCCGTTTCTGCCGCTTGCCAGCTACGCCTCGGCTGGCGCAGGGGGCGGAACCACGCATGCGCAGCGCTCCTGGGCAGGGAAAGTCCTCGACTTACGACTGGTTGGGTAGTCCTCGACTTACGACCTGTTTAGTCCTCGACTTACGACCGGTTGGGGGTCGCGGCATTAAAAAGGTTGAGAACCACTGAGTTAGAATATGTTCTACTAAATCATCCAAGGTGGCCCAATAGATTCCCCACCAAAACTAAGCTTAACAATCCTTCAATAATAAAAATAGGTTTTGATATACCGTATATGAAATGATATTTATTAGATTCACAAGGTGATAATTATCTTATTAATGCCACAATTGTTTCAATTATCATATATCTTGCACCTGGTTACTATTGCTGTTTTATATATATATATCTGAATATATATCTTATATCTTCATTTCAGACATCGTGTGGAACTATTTTCCCAACATTCATCGATGCCCCTCTTGGCTTATAAAAATGACCCAGGGACTGTCTTGCGAAAGGTTCTAGCATCTTTAATATCATCAACTATAGTATTCTTCAGGACCAGCCAAAGAGTTTGAGATGGGAAGCACTGTATTGTGCTGGTTTGCCTTCTTTCTTTGGGGTCAGTACTAGTTGGTGATCAGGGCAAAGAAATCCTACCCTCAGCCCCTATTGTGTGGGGTGCTGTAAGATTCCGTGTTCTTCTTGCTTCTATTCAACATATTGATAAAGCTGCTGGGTGAATTAATCTGCTATCATGGACTGAGATATCATCAGTAGACCAGTTTGGTATAATGGTTAGACAAAGGGCTAGAAAGCAAGAGACCAGGAGTCCAACCTGGCCATGAAAACCAGCTGAATGACTTTGGGCCAGTCAGTTTTTCTCAGCCCAACTCACCTCAAAGATTGTTGTTGTGGGGCAAATAGGAGGAAGTTGACTGCCCTGAGTTATTTGTAAAAGTAATAAAAGATGGGAAAACAAACAAACGAACAAATACTCAATTATATATCGCTGCCTCTGGCAAGCTAAGCAATGCTATTAATGTCTTAATTTGGTGCCTAGAATCTATGATAGTCTGGATGGAGAACAACAGGGCTCACCTGAACCTGGCAAGATTTTGCAGCCAATGGTTGTGGGACTATACCATCTTTGATGCTGGATGGGGCTGCACAGAGTCAGTACATACCCTACATAACTCACAAATCTTTTTTGCCATGGTGTCTAATTTGTGGAACATCATCCAGTAAGGTGAAGTTGGTTCTATCCCTATTAATTTTTGTAAGTCCTTCAAAACACTGTTATGTCATGAGGCCTAGTGGTCCCAAGGCAATGGTGAGTTGCTGAAATGGCTCCATCGTTTTTAAAATCTATTATTCTCTTTTTGCCTGTTTAATTATAAGTTTAATATTTTACTTGTTAATTGTTTTTATACCATAGACTTATATTTTTTATTTTATGTTCACCCAAAGTCACATTTTGTGAGATAGATTGCTATGAATAATGATAATTGAATAAATATATTTCTTTATTGTCTTGTGTTGGTTGGTGATATGAGTTGCCATCCAACACTTCTAAAGAGTGGCAGGTTTTATATATGTATGCTGACTGTATATGTATGTCTGTTTTTCCCCCATCAATTCTGTATAATTTTGAGTAAAAAAATAATTTTATGCCTTATATGCAGAGCACATCATGAGAAAGGCAGGGCTAGATGAATCAAAAGTTGGAATTAAGATTGCCGGGAGAAATATCAACAACCTAAGATATGCAGATGATACCACTCTAATGGCAGAAAGTGAAGAGGAACTAAAGAGCCTCTTCATGCGGGTGAAGAAGGAGAGTGCAAAAGTGGGCTTGAAACTCAACATTAAGAAAACCAAGGTCATGGCATCCGGCCCTCTCAATTCCTGGCAAATAGATGGGGAAGAAATGGAGGTAGTGACAGATTTTATCTTCCTGGGCTCCAAGATCACCTCAGATGGGGACTTCAGCCAAGAAGTTAAAAGATGCTTGCTCCTGGGGAGGAAAGCTATGGTAAATCTAGACAGCATACTAAAAAACAGAGACATCATCCTGCCAACAAAAGTACGTATAGTCAAGGCCATGGTTTTCCCAGTTGCAATGTATGACTGTGAAAGTTGGACCACAAGAAAGGCTGAGCGCCAAAGAATTGAGGTCTTTGAACTATGGTGCTGGAGAAGACTCCTGCGAGTCCCCTGGACTGCAAGGTGATCAAACCGGTCAGTCCTAGAGGAGATCAACCCTGACTGCTCTTTAGAAGGCCAGATCCTGAAGTTGAAACTCAAGTACTTTGGCCACCTAATGAGAAGGAAGGACTCACTGGAGAAGAGCCTAATGCTGGGAAAGATTGAGGGC